CCTCGATCTCCTTTGTTTTTCTTTTTCATTTTCCTAAGTAGATTTTGCTATATTTATTCTAAAAAAAAATTGAAGAACAATTGAATTAAGGCAAGGTAATTAAACAGCTCACGTGTACCCTAATTTTCCCTTTGAAAATCTCTTCTCCATGCCTTACAGTGTGATCGTGTCTTCAAAAAACGACATGATCTTGTGGAAGTGATGAAGCTTGGCATGCCCAAAAAGTTAAGAAAAGGATGTATGTATGAAGATAAAATGATTGCCTTCCATACTGTGTAATGTGCATTGATCTTCATCGTGCAAATTAAACTACATAATGCTCTCACTGATTCTGTTCCCATTTCTGTTTGGTCCCACTCACGTAAGGGACAAACCCCTTTATGAAGCTTCATTTATCCTCTCTGCTTCCTTTCAAATACTGTAATTAATTAAGCTTTGTGTGGTGGATGATCCCGTTGTTGATTACAAAACCACTTTCGCTTAGCTTGTGTCATATTGTCTTCTAATGATGTTTTGGAAAAAGCAATGCTTGTTGTCACCCGTCAAAATACAAACACTCGACCACCTAAAAAATCTAAGATTTAGATATATACAACCAACCTATCCGTTTACTACTTGGCGCTTGGCGTGCGTGAGTTGTTCATATTTTATCTCGAGAAATCATAATTGAGCATGATCGGTCTAACCATGTATGCTATATGTCTTTATCATCCAACTATTTTTTTTTTTAGTATTGATATAATTATAATATTATGTAAAATTATATATTTATAATTATAAATGTATCATCAAATGAATATATGCATATATAACGTTATAGTAAATTTAATTTTAAATGAAAAAATTAATTATATAATGAAAATTCATAATTATAAACTCATAAAATATTATGTGATATTATAATTATATCATTTTATTTTTTTATCTTATTTTGCCAACATCACCTGACCAATTAAAAGATTAAAATTTCAATTAATCTATGAAAAAAAAAAAAAACCAGTTATATATATACTACTTGTTTTTCTTTTTTTGACTTTAGGCAATATGAATTGTATACAAGTATAATTAATCATGATTGATGGATATGGATTGTTTCTTAACTCCCACGGCTGAAGGTCTTTGACTCGATATTAATTAATCTAGACTTGTAACTTCCTAAATCTAATGGAGATCAGGAGCTTAATAGTGAGTATGGGTAATTATTTATGGGTGGTAATATATAGATATATTTTTTTATAGTTTTTTAGTATAATTTTATATGTTATTAAATAAGTCAAACGTATTTAATATCACGAATTACCAAATGAATAAAAAGAATTAATTATTTAAATAACATATAAAATTATAAAAAAATTATTTATAAATTATTTTCTATTGTTTATAAGTTGAGTCACCGCCTAATGGTTTCTTTAATAAGTATTTTTTGGAAAATTAGAAAGTAAATTTCTAAGCCAATACTAGATCATAATCTTATGAGGTACTATCTCTAGTTCAATTTTTTTTTTTTTCTTTTGAAAGGCAAAGAACGTGTTTTATTATTAAAGTATAAGGGATACTTTATTCATGTACACTATCAACCATATAACATGATTTTTAGTTCAATTTAGTTGTTACACTACACATATTTTTAACTTCTTAGTATTTTTTTTATAAATAAAAATTAAGAATTGAACTCTAAATTTATATATTATATAAAAATAACAATTGAAATTTTTTATATAAAATAAAATTATTTAATAAATTAATTTTTTAAATTATCTTTATATACTATAAAAAAATAAAATTTTCTAAAAACATAAGTTAGTGTAATTAATATATCTTTTAACCATTAATTTATATTAAAAAAATTGATATTAGTTTTAGTATCAATGTCATATGTTTTAATTTAATTAATTAGTTGTTAACATCAAAGTAAAACTTTATTTTTTTTAACTTAATGACAAAAAAATATATTAATAACTTTTTTTTAATTTTTGTTTTAAAAATACAGATTAAAAATCTCCTAAAAACATATCACTTAAAAAATATATACAATGACAAGTAAATTGGACCTAAAGTAATATACATGCAAGTTGTAAATCCTAGTTAGTATTAGAATTGAGTTTCTTATGCATCTTGTCCTTTTGTCATAAATCAAAAGTTGATAGAATCGCAGTTAAAAAGAGGGAAAATGTGAATAGATCGTAATACATTGTTGTAATAATATTCCGAAATTCTGACTCTTATTTTAGCGAAATTGTTCATGAGATGACACTGAGAAAATGGAGTCGCAGAGTACTCCCAGTAGCAGCAGCGCTGCTGAGGACAAGTTTTGGAAGGTGCCAGGCACCGTCTTCACTCGGCTATGTTCGTCTTTTTCTACCATTTTTCTGCACCTCTTCGTTGCATGTGACCTGTTTTTTTCTAAAGTCTATATTATACGAATCACAAACTCCACCAAGCGATAGGTGATTACGCGTATCGTTTAAGGTTGGTGGACTACTTATTTGGTTTGAGAATCGAATTCTCAATGTTAATATTTATCAATATTAATTTATTAATTATTATTTTTATCAAAAAAAAATATTATACGAGTTACGAGACTTTCATGATTTGATTGCATTACATTATACCTTCTGAATTGTACTTGATATTATTATTCTAATAAAAAAAATTCTTAAAAATCACCAAGTTTTTTTTTTGGTGAAAAAAAATCACCAAGTTGATGAAAAAACTGACTCATTTCTCAAAAATAAATACAAAAAGAAACTTTGATTCATTAAATTTTCCTTAGGCAGCCCATCATCATTGACTCATTTCCAGAAAGCTTCGTTGAAACTTCTACGCATTTTTACTATTTTATTGTAATGGTGAGCATGGTCGGTAGAGTCGGTTTCACAATGTAACTTGGACCTTGTATGGTGTAGGGATCCCTTCTTAAAATTTAGAACTAAGATTTTCAATAAAATATTATCAACAATTAGCATAAATTATATCAACACAAGTTTGATTAAATTGATATTTATTATCTTAAAATTTTTATTTTTTATTATATTTAATTGTTTTAGTTTAACTTTTATATAAAATTTAATATTTACATA